CGGACCAACAAAAAAAAAGAAAAAGAAGAAAAAAAAAAAGGAAAAAAGTGAAAAAAGAAGAAAGAAAGAAAGAATGAAAGAATGAAGGCAAGAAAGAAAAAAGAAAAGGACTTATTGTCCCCCGTCCCCCGTCCCATCATCCCCCTCTCCGCATCTAGGACTCTCGATCTTCGTAATCGCTGAGATTACCGACGATCATCCCCTTGGATCCTGTATGTTGACTCGCGACACACTCCTCAAACGATTTTACCCCATCTCCACTGATTTGTTTTTATTCTTATTGTCTTTATTCTACCTATTTTTAATTTTTCCTTTCCTTTATATTATGTTATTTTTTTACAGATTAATTGTGTATAGGAGAGACAGGATTCAATAGATCAACGTTTAAAGAAGGAAGAATGACGAAGAGAAATAATAGAAATGAATAGAATATGGTTAAAGATGATAAGATAGAGATTGCTGGTGTTAAAGTAAGTTGTTAAAATAATATTGTTATCTGCGTACAAACGAGAATCTAATTTTCTAATTATTACCTGAGAAAGTTAGAAAGACGCGAAACTAGATCTATATCGGCTGAGAGAAAAAAAAAACCAATTAGGAAATAGATAGATAATAAAACACGTATACGTGTATGTTTCTTAACATTTTCTTACCTTTCCTTTAAAGATAACAGTAACAACGATAACGACAACTATGACAACGATAACTATGACAACGATCTAGGTGATATGAATTAAGAATAACTTTGTAGGTAAAAGAAGATATCAGAGTCTAGGCTAGTTCTGGCCGGTGATTTCAGTGATTTCGAAGGATATACAGGATAGAGAAAAGAAGAGGTGGTGGAATGGGATTGCTGGAAGGGTTGCCAGTCAGAAAAGAGAGAGTGGGTAGGTAGGGCGCCCTCCAGCTTGGCGACTCACCCCCGATACTACGATGCCAACGTGGAAGGAGTTATTCTTGCATTGGCCGCGTCGAGGAACGACGACGACGACGACGACGATGTTGTCGCCGTCTCCGTCGGCTTTGCCCATCGTTGTCTTTGTGATCGTGGTGATCGTGGTGGTCGTCGTCGTCGTCGTCGTCGTCAACGGTGTCGGCCGACGAGGCGTCACTACGTTTGGCGACGCCACGCTTGGCGTCGACTCTCAGCGCCGGCCGGTCGCTGGAATCGGCGCCTCCCCGTCTCTCTCTCTCTCTCTTTCACCCCTCCTCTTTCTGTCTCTATCTTTCTCTCATACATTTCGGCTCAGAGAGAAAGAGAGAAAGAAAGAGACCATTCGTCGTTTCACCATCGTCGACATCGGCGACGACGAGGCTCTGCCGGCTGTCGCCATCCGCTCTTCTCTTCCACGGGATCACCCTTTTTCTTCCTTCTTCTTCGTCTTCTTCGTTCTTCGTTGTTGTCCTCGTCATCTGCATCGTCCTCTTCTTGTATCCTACTATTCCACCTAACTCTTATTATCAGTTCATCTTCATCGCGCGCGCGAGGATAATGAAACTTTCCACCCGTCCTCCTCCCTCTACCCATCATTTCATCCCTCAACCCACGCTTTTATTTCCACCCCCCGCCCCGATTAGAAATTCGTCAATTCATTCGTGTATGTTAGATGCATCATCCCATCCTCTAATAAAACACAGTTACCCTATCTATCCCCTTCTATATTTTCTTTTTACCCTGTGCATAACACATCATCTCTTCTCGTTCCAACGATCAAACCGATGCAAATTCGATATAGCATAGGGAGGAATACGCGCTTATTTTAAACGAATTGAGAAGAGAGAGAGAGAGAGAAAGAGAGTTTCTCGCGAAGAAATCGTTCGATCGGCCGTAATAAAAACCAAGCTCGATTCCAAAGAAACCGGAACGAAAACACGATAAAGATTTGGCCTGGCGCGCGAACACCGACGCCACACGATGATACGGTCATCCTTATTCTCCTACCTTTCTTTTTTACTCCCACCTCCTCTCTCTCTCTCTCTCTCTCTCTCTCTCTTTTTCTTTCTCTTTCTTTCTCTCTTGGAATACGATACGATCGTAGTTTTACGATCCTACCCCTTCGATAAGATCGTTCTCCTTTCGACGTTCGTCTCCTGGACGCCTCAACTCGTTTACTCCTCAATTAATCGGATTTCGATCTGCGGCGATGGGATGTCGGAAATCGTCGCGCCTCTTTACAAAAAAAAAAAAGGAAGGAAGGAAGGAAGGAAGGAAGAAAGGAAGAAGGAAAAAAAAAAGAAGAGAAGAAGAAGAAGAAGAAGAAGAGGAGGAGCCTTGCCAAACGGCTTCAAGCTGCGCCAGGAGGGAAAGTTTCGCTCGATTGGACACGCCGATCGGTTTTCCTCCTCTTCCTCTTCTTCATCCTCATCTTCTTCATCTTCTTCCACATCTTCTTCTTCTTCTTCTTCGTCTTCGTCTTCGTCTTTTTCAAAGAATAAGAGGGAMCCAGCCGTTCTCGACGCCACTCTGGCGCCCCCCTCCTTCTCTTTTCTTTTCTTTTATTTCTCTTTCTACCCTTGCAGCCCCTTTTACAGTGTGCACCGTTGGCGTCCCTACGACCAAACCATTATCTCTATACCACGATTATAGGGCAACGGGACCGACAAACAGGCGTGGGCCAGACCCCCTGGCACCCTCGATAAACCCTATCCTTCTCTTCCCCTCCCCCAGCCCCCAGTCCCCCTTTATTTTCCTCCTCTATCTTTCTCTCTGCCTTTCATTGGACCAGCCGCATACCGTCAACCACTACACAAACAAACTGCTGCTACTCTTGCTCCTGCTGCTGCTGCTTTTGCTGCTGCTGTTGCTGCTGCTCCTCCTGCTGTTGCTAGCATCGGCTAACATCATCCAACAAACCTTTTATCTTATTCTAATTTTTCATCGTTGTATTCCATCCCTTCACCGTTGTAAACATTGCTTACAATTATGTTAATTAAGGAACAAACTAAATTAGACTACTAATCTTTTTCTTTTTTTCTATCCTACATTGTAAAATCTATCGAAAAAAATGTTGGGATTTTATCGTTTGTACTCGAGAGGTTACTCTCGGTTATATAATTCAAATGATAATCATATTTTTATTTAGGTTTTATTTGGACAATACCGATTTATGAATACTTTCAACAACGCTTACGTGCAAAACAACAATCTTAAATACATCGTTTACATGCATTGTAAGTGAATATCATCTACGACGATTGTTTGAATTCGATAGTCGTGGCAATAGGAATATTATTTTTAAAATTACGGAGACACGGATAAGTATGGATTACGATGAAAGAATCAGTTCGAGTGAGCATGAGTTCGATTTTTCATTCGCGATTAATTATTAATATAAGTATATAATATATGAGAGAGAAAAAGAATTTTTTGAAATGAATCTAACTTTGTTTAATCAGTAAAATTCTCTTAATTTGAAAAATTAAAATAATAAAAAAACGAAAAAAGAAAGCTAAACAATAGGGATTCGCATAAATGCAATGCACAAAAATAAGGCGCAAAAAATAGAGCGTTCTCGATTAGACTGATTAGTTGGATTAAGTGAAGAATAAACTATCATACGTGTAAATACACGTGTACGTAGACAAGTACATACATACGTATAAACTTGAGTAGTTACGTGACTATAATAATGGTCCACCTACACGATTGATATCACGAGACTAGGAATTCGAGCTTTTACTTTGACCTGCAGTTTTGATGGAATCCAATTGAATGAGAAGATACATGTTATGCTAACAAGAATTAAGAAGGATTGCAAGGTTTGTTATTAACGAATAAAGTTTGGCGAAAAACACCAAACTATATATTAATGGTTGATGAGAATGCATCTTGGAAATTACTTTATGTAATATCACACAAAACAACAATACAAAACTTAATGTTTAACAAATATTCTTCTTTGTATAGTATATAATAAAGATATATATATATATATAAATGTTAAAATATAAAAGATTTTAAATGTTAAATTGTGTGTGTGAAAGCATTTCAAGATAACTGTAAGAAGAAATTCAGCAAATATGCGAAATGTCGTCTCGAGTTGCTGATTCGACCAAACTAAAAAGGCCTCGCGAGTGCAAAAAGGGTTAATATTTGTTGTAGGATGATCCAAGTGTTCGGGAATTCGATATTTGTTATCAATAAAATCTACCTTACCGACTTGATTTTAAGCAAATAATTTAATTTGCATAAGAGTTTAAATATTTTCTTTTAAACGTCCCTGAGAATAAAGAACGTTGACTCGAACGTTTACTTACGAAAGAATTGAGTGTACGATCGAGAACGAAGAAATTTAAGTGCGGATTAGCGTGGAATCAAGGACGGCCACGGAATGAATTTGAATGAAAATACTATTTAGACTTTCTACGCAGGTATCTTCGTATCTATGTATGCGTATATATGAAAATAAGCGCAGAGATATACGTGCGTCCAAGCACATAAAGTTTCGATGTTTAAAAGTATCACATTTTAAATTGTGATACGCACGAAGTGATAATTAAATAAATCAAACGTTTAGTTGTTGATTTGTGTTTACCGTTATGTAAAACGATTAACGAATCAATTACGAGCTAATGGATGTTAATGAAATAACGATCGATTAAACGAACGATTTCTTTTAATCGATTTCTAATCGAATAATAATCACAACAAATTATTTAAACAATAAATATTAAAAAAAGTTATCGATAAGAGTTGACAACTCTCGATAGGTAACCAAGCAGGAGCGGAATAAAAATGTAATATCAGGTGAGTCGGAATAAAATAGAACGGACCGTCGGTAAAGAAGAACTCGTTAAATTAGAAACTACCGATAGAAACTTAACCTCATTTTTTCTACCCTCAACTTACCTTACGTCTCTCTCTCTCTCTCTAAGGTATCACGATACCTTAGGGGAACGTAAATGAAAGAGAAAGAGAAATTGTCATGCCGTAAGTGCAAGTAGCTCGATAATAAAAATGTTTCGAAGCCGATTAAACGGTAAAACGTAGCTTACGTAATGCGGAACGATCATTATTAATAATAATAACGATAAGATTAGTCGAGGGTCTTTCACCGGGGTCACGCGTCATGCGTCGTCGTCGTCGTGGTCATCCTTATTGTTGCTATTGCTGCTGTTGTTGTTGTTGTTAGATAAAGAAAGAGAAGATAAATAGCGCGTAACAACGATGCCACGTTGATAATAAGAGGTTGGAAACGGAAAACGTAAGCGAACCGAAGTTAGTTTCGCGAGCAGTTAAAGCCAATGCGGTTATAGGAGAGAAACGTGTGTTACGAGTTGAATCAACGCCTCCTACGACTTTCTATCTCCTTCCCTCTCTCTCTTCCTATTTTTATCTTTCTCTCTTTATTTATTTCTATCTTTGTCTTTCTTATTTACATCAACGCACTCCTTCCGTGTTTCTATCTTGCTTGTTCTCTCTCTCTCTCTTTCTCTTTCTTTCTTTATTTCTCCCTCTCATTCCCACCATCTCGAATTCCATCGAGAACTAGAGGTAGTCAAGGTGTGACGTTATTGTTACCTACAACTCGACAACTGACAGACAGCAAAACGAGCCAAGTGCAACTCATTCTACAACGAAGAAATAATCTATAAATTATGGGGGCATCCTCGAACGCGACGTACTTAGGTCTCGATCTCAGCACGCAGCAGGTAAAGATACTGTCCTACCATATCAACAATTTCAATTTCAAAAAAATAGGGGAAAAGAAAAAAACAAAAGACTTCATGAAAAAGAAATAGAACGTAACGGGTACGCGAGTAAATACAAAATAAGGAGAAAGAAACAAAAAAAAAGCAATTGATTCATCGTCTCGTACGATTGCGTACACATTGTACACAAATAATATTATACATATATAATATATATATACATGTACAGTTATTTACTTTGAAAAAGAAGAGGAATTGTCGCTTACGCGCAGTTCTTCTTATCTCGATAGTAAAGTTGAGAATGGTCGGGCCATGCGTTTCTAAACCCTTTCCCTCTTCTCTCTTCTCCTCTTCAACAATGATGACCACCACCATCACCACCCTTTCCTCCTCCACCACCTCCTCTTCCTCCTCCTCCTCTTCCTCCTCTTACTGCTGCTCTCGTGATCTCTTTCGCTACCAACTCCAATCGGGATTCCTTGAACGATTACAAGCGTGACTATTGACATCGCGTATTTATCCTTCCTTTTTTGTAGTTGTCGTTAGATTTAACGCTTAACCGGGATTACAAAAATTCAACTATATTATCGATAATTTTAATATCTAATAAATGTATGCTCTCGTAGTAAGAATAATATCACAGTTCCGAACTTTGTTTAACGTACATACCTCTCGCGACTATCTCCTATGTTCACTCGAATCTTCGAGAGCCGTTATTGTGCGCATGAGCATTAATTTCGATTCGAAGCGCGCTTTTTATTCAAATTATAAAAATGATGCGCGCGCGACGACGACGACGACGACGACGACGACGACGACGACCCTTTGACACGAGTCAATGCTGCGTTGCTATAAGCAAGCAAGCAAGCTTTGACGTATGCAATAATTTTTTGCCGGGTCGTTTTTAATCTAATGTCATGGATAAATTTTATCAATATATAAATAAAAATAAAGAGAGAAATGGAAAGAAATATATATAAGATCGAATTAAAAAAGAAATATTATTTCGATAATTAAATAAATCAAGTTTCGTGTTGTTGCTATTTGTTGACAGTTGAAGGCTGTTGTGGTCGATGACGATCTCTGTATCCTACATGAAACCAGTGTTCAATTCGATAATGATCTACCAGAATTTAGGTATAATTATAAGAAAATATTCAATGCATACTTTTTTTTTTTTATATATATATCCGAGAATACGAGTCAAATATTATGATTGTAATTTTTATACTCTCTCTTTATTTCTTTTTTTTTTTAGAACGTACGGAGGTGTCGTGCAAAAGAAATACGAGTCCCACGTAGTAGTGGCACCAGCTTTGATGTGGGTCAAAGCTTTAGATATGATCTTAGATAAATTACGAGTTTGCGGAGTTGATTTTAGTAAAGTTGCCGCTATTTCCGGATGTGCTCAAGTAAAAAAAAAATAAACCTACATTAATATTACTAATTACGATATCCCATTCTTTTTTTTTCTTTGATTTTTTCAACGATATAATTCGTAATATTATTTAACAGCAACACGGCACAGTTTATTGGGGTAAAGGTAGCCAAAGTCTCTTGCAAAATTTAGAACCAAGTAAATTTTTACACGAACAATTTGCAACGTCCTTTTCGATAGTTCAGTCACCTGTTTGGATGGATTCCAGTACAACTAATGAATGTCGTATTTTGGAAGCGATCGCTGGCGATCCTAAAGTATGTGTAATCCTTGTAATCTACGTAATAACGATTAAAATTTGATAATAAACATTTTTCAATTTATCTACAGAAATTAGCAGAAATAACAGGGTCTCGAGCATACGAAAGATTTTCAGGACCACAAATAGCAAAGATTGCACGAACGAGGCCAGAAGCTTACAGTAATACCGAGGTATACCTAGTAAAAAAATTCTACGGCTTCTTTGAAAAAAAAAAAATAAAGTAATAAAAAAAATAAAATAAAAATAACACTAGAAAACAGCGTACAATCGAGGTATTAAAAAGTATTGAATAAATATTTAGTGTGCTACCTAATCCCGTTTGCATCTCGACACATCATTTTACTTCTTATTTTCTTTTTTATCTTTTTTTCATAAAATCGATATAATATTTCTCATATTTGTTTACGTGCATACATTGTTTGTGTTTAAATCGTTTAAATTTTGTCGCTAACAAATTTTATAAATATTTATCTAATTTTTCTAAAGATTTTTATCGATCGATTATTATTTTTTCATTGTAGAGAATTTCTTTGATCAGTAGTTTTCTTGCATCATTGTTCTTGGGTGATTTTGCACCGATCGATTGGTCGGATGGTTCTGGAATGAATCTTCTAAATATTCGTACGAAAGATTGGGACGATGGTTTACTAGAGGTAAATTGTATACAATTTTGAAGAAAACTGAAATTAAATTAACTTTATCAATAATTTCATTCTTTTTTTCTGTCATCATTTTATTTTCATAGATTTGCGCACCGGATTTAAGAAAAAAATTAGGCAAACCGATTTCTTCCTACAACAATATCGGTCCGATATCGCCTTACTTTGTTGAAAGGTTTGGCTTCAATGAGGCTTGCAGGATAATCGCATTTACGGGAGATAATCCAGGTTCTTTGGTAGGTACGTGTTACCACCTGTGAAGATTTCAAATGGATTTGTTAATTTGTATTAATCAAAATTTTGTTGTTGTATATTTTAAAAAAAAAAATTATAAATATTATTTAACACAATGTACAGGAATGAGATTAAAAAAAGGGGACATCGCATGCAGTTTAGGAACTAGCGATACTTTATTTTTATGGTTGAACGAGCCCAAAACTGTTATTGATGGGCATATTCTTTGCAATCCTATTGAAGATGACGCATATATGGCATTACTTTGGTAATAATTTAAATTACATGCTATTGATTAAATATTATAGAAGATTTTTAAGTAATATTAGATTTATATACACGTTTAGTTTTAAAAATGGATCATTGACTAGAGAAAGGATACGTAAGAGTGCTGCGGAAGGTTCATGGCAAATATTTAACGAATTATTAGAAAGTACGCCTCGAGGAAATTTCGGAAATTTTGGGTTATATTTTGATGCACAGGAAATTTTACCGTCCGTGATCGGTGATTATAGATTTAATAAAGCCAATGACGAAATTAATCGATACAGTTCAAAAGAAGTCGAAGTCCGAGCGCTCATCGAAGGCCAATTTGTCGCTAAAAGAGCGTACGCTGAAGATTTTGGTTTTGTTATTGGTTGGTGTTGCGTTATTTTTAATTAGACAATTTTGCTATTATTTCTAAATGTTACTCATCCTAAATTAGGTCCCAATACACGAATAATAGCGACAGGTGGTGCATCTGCTAATAGAACTATACTACAAGTACTTGCTGATGTCTTTAATTCACCTGTTTATATATCGGTAATTGTTATTATTATAATTTCTGTTATATATATTTTTTATTATTATTATTATTATTATTATATATATATATTTATAGGAAATTACAAATTCGGCAATGATGGGTGCAGCGTATCAAGCAAAACACGGTTTGCTAAGAAACGAACTTAACTTCGAAGAAATAACTGCATGTTTACCAGAACCAAAACTTGTTTGTCGGCCGTACGACGATGCCGAATCTGTAAGTTAAAATCTTAACAAAATGATCATAAATTAAATTTCATATATAAATAAATATAATAAGCACATAAATATAATTACTAACTATGTCTCGAATGATAAAATAATTAAATTTTATATATTGTAGATATATCGACCGATGACGCAACGTTATCGAAAGTTAGTTGAAAGAATAATAAAAAAAAATCTATCGCAGCAGTCAGATAAGTGATAATAAATTATTACAGGAAACGATTAATTATATGCATCGATGGCATATATAAATCCCTTTAGCTAATTATCTTTTAACGGATTCTATTATTTTATATCGTGAGATACATATCATTGTGTTTCTTGTATACAGGGTATATTTCAAAGTATACGAGTATAATTACAGGAATGGTTTCAATATTCTAAAATAAGAAAAAACAAAAATTCATACAATCGTGTATGTTTCCTAATCATAGACGTTTTTTTTTATTATACGAGTTGTTACATGATTTTTATCGAAATTATTCGAAGTAGCCACTTCTTCGGAATCTTCTCGCTCGTTCAAAACTATCAGGTGTTGTTTAAATTTGCTGACAATTTTCTTGAATACGGCAACATGGTTCCTCAGCATTGTTTACTGTTGCATCGTAAACTAAAGACTCTCTTATCGATTAATTAACCTTTCACAACCAATCCATTTATTCGGGAAATTTTGAAACACCCTGCATATACACCCACACAATGATAAATAAAGGTACCTAATTTATATGCATTCTTAAACGCATTTATATATAATTCTACACACTATTTGGGTAATAGAAAAATTCTACCTATAACTTTTATAGGTAATATTCATAATAGAGAATGAAAGTTCTAGTGAAATGTAATTTTGATAGAAGATTAGTCTATTAGAATCTCTGATTAAGCAACTAAAAATACGTCACGTATGATTTACATGCATTTATGATACTTACACGTGCATACGCTCATACATGCATACACGCACGTTTTCTTAAGTTTTTATTTTCTCGAGAAGAAAGAAAAAAGAAATAAAAGTATACGAAAATCATAAACAACTTATATACGTTGCACAAATATAGAACTGATCTCTTAATACTTTGCTCGATTTTTAAATATTTTTTACTATTGCACTTAATTTTATCTTTCTCTCTCTCTCTCTCTCTCTCTCTCTCTCTTTCTCTCATTACTTTTTTAATCCTTTCGTTACGACATGCTTTAACGAGAGTATCGTTCCATATAGATTCGCTCATACGTACGTATCGTTGCATGGTTTACGACCCTCACAAGGGTCGCTCGCATATACGGGCCTTTGCATGGACGACCCGTATATGGGTCACTGATAACGAAAGGGTTAAATTTCAGTGCCTTAGTGCTTAAAAGTACAAGAATAACTAAAAGTGCAATTTGTTGTAAAAGCGAATCTTTAATATATAAAAATCTATTGATTCCTAATATATTAATTGTATAATATAATATAGTATATATAAATCTAATATAATGCCAAATTGAATATGTTAATTAACTTATTATCATTAATTTATTTAAAAACATATTGTATTAATAATAATAATATATAAATCTAAATCATCTTCTTTTTTTATTATTTGTAATTATAGTTTCTCAACAAAATTATTCACGTCATATTGTGATAGATACAATCGTTAAAGATTATATTATTCGAAAAAATATAATTTTTGTAGTTACATTGATAAAACAATATCATATAATGATGGATTGTCAAAAGAATTTGAAACTTACTTATAGAATTGATCACTTATTTTTTTCTGCCACCTCTTTCCTTAGGAAGAAGATTGATGACATTTCCAGATGATAAATTATAGTAAGCAAGTGTGTTACCATCTTTAAAGAACATTCCCTAAACAAAATTCATTTTTATTAATTTACAATTAATAATAATAATTATTATTTATAAATAATTCGTACCTCGTATTGCAACTTTTGTTTGCCTGGAGGCATACCAGTTTGTTCATGAATCAAAGCTTTCATAGTTACGACAGTATCACTCAATTGCAAAGTGATATTTAATGTTTGCCCATTTAATTTCCATTCCGCCTTTTCTGTCATCATGGGCACAGCAATATTCAACTGTACCGGACCCTAATAGAAAAAAATAAAATAAAATAATCAAATGCAATCGTAAGTTTATATATAAAATGTATCCTACCTTATTTCTAGCAAGGAATGCTTGTTCAGGAATCAATGTATCTTCAGAACGCAATTTCTTAGCCTGGGGTTCTTCCTCCATAGGTTCCGCAGTATGCTTGATACCGATCTTCAAAAATAATAATATTAAATTAAAATCAATTGGAATATTTTTCAGAAGATTATCAAATTCAAAAGTACTTACAGCTGATGCCATTGGTGGTTGCATAGGTGGTGGTGTTGGCATAAATGGTGACATAGTGGGTGCTGAAATTGAAATCATATAAAAATATTCTCACGTTATATAAAATATTAATAAATAAATAATAAATCATACTCATAAGTGGTGGTGGTCTTATTGGAGGCATAGGAGCCATCATCATCATTGGTGGCTGCGGCATCATTGGTTGTGGAATTGCCATTGTAGGCATACTCATGGCTGGTGGTGGTGGTGGTTGAGCTGGAACTGGTATCGGTTTCGGTGCTGGTGGTTTAGGAGGTGCTTTCAAAGTAGCTTGAGGCTTAGAGGCAACAGCAGCCATATGGGAAAGTTCAGCTGCACGATTGGCAGGTTTCGGACCAATCTTTTCTTTCTCTTCATCAGGAAGAAGTCCTTTAACTTTGTGTATTTGATGAATTTGTTCTTCTAAGGTAATATTTGCTCGAGCTGCTCTAGTCGCTGCTTCAACACTAGACGTATGACCATCCCATGTAACTTTGTCATCTTTCTTCTTATCTTCTTCACCGATCTTTTTACCAATCGCAGTTTCTTCATCACCAACACCAAATATATCAGTACGCCTTTCAGCGAGTTGCTTAAGACTGGCCTCAATCGCAGTACCCGGAGCAAACACAGTCTGCTGCGCTAACTTATCTAAATGTTTATCCCGTTGTTCTACCCAACGTGGATCCAATAAACCTATTCTCATATGCTCTTGCACTTTACTAGCAGGTATACGTTCTCCCGTAATCGGGGAAATCAAATATTCATCAGGAGCAACTGGACGAGCCGCTTTAACAGCTAAAACGTATAAAATATTAATAAATTAATAATACCTCTTATATTATATAAACAAAATGTTCATAACATTCGCTTTTCACTTACCATGTTGCTTTGGATCATATCCTTTTTTAACGACAACGTTACCAGGTGTCGGTGGTAATGGCGGAGGTTGCATACTTGCATCTCGTACCTTAGAATCTTTAGATTTATGAGAATCACCTGGTGGAGACACGTCGTCGTCATCACTTGAATCCTCCTCCATATCTTGTACCTGAAAACAATCATATAATGTTAATACTTTGTGTGTAATAATAATAATACAAATTTTCTAATACATTTACTCACCTGATTGTTATCCTTCGCACGATCTTTTTCACCATCGGTACGAGTTTGCATTTCTTCTTCTCCATCACTGTCAATTTGCATCTCAACATCTTCACCTTCTTCTATACGCTCCTATTAAAAAACATTTAATACAAATGAGTATTTAAATAACAAGAATATTTAATATTTTTTTATCGTTATCTATTTTACCTGCATAAGAACTCTAGCTCCGACTTCATCAGGAGTCGTCGGTGCTGGAAAATTACCAACTTCAAATTGTTGATAATCAACAGTTTCAACAACAACAAAATCATGCCAATCGATTTGAGCATAAGCGACTCTCTCCCGCTCTAATTCTTCCTCCTCTTTACGTCTTTGAGCTTCTTGATATTTCAGCCATTCTGCACGATACTTAACTTGTTCCAAAATCTTATCCATGTTATAAACTTCATCTTTCAGTCGTGGTAATAAATCTTTAGGTGGGATCAATACCTATTAATATTAAAAATTATTAACAATCAAAATAAATAAATAAACATAAGAAATGTTTAATAAAATATAAATACTTTAGTATACTGTTCCAAAAGTTTTGTAAAGTATTGAAACAATGAATGTTGAGGACGTAAGAAATCAAACTGAAAATTACGTTGCTCCCTGTTCATTAAATTGGTTAAAAATTGACGTCCATTACGTGCTACAAATTGTGCTGTCAATTTGACAATATCTCTAAAATGAAATAAAGAAAACTATTAATATAAAAACTAATAACCTTTCGATTAAAATACATTTAAATATAATCAATTGATACGCACAGATCTAATGCAGAAATAGAAGGAGGATCAGCGATAAATTCAAATTCTGTAGGTGGATCTTTAGGAACAAAAGGCTGTTCAACTTGCTTCAAAATCTCTTGTTGCTTTTGATGTGCAGTAAGATTTACAGTTTTCCCAGCACCCGTACCAACAGATGGTTCCTGTGCTTTGCCTTCTTTAAATTCTTTAACTTTATGTTGATAGTACGCATGATAGGGATCACCAAAATTTAAGAAATTAAATTTCGGATTTCCCAATTCATTTTGTCTAATTCTCGATTCGAATTCTGGTCCATTCCTAGCTACGAAGCTAGCAGTTTTGTCAACAATATCTAAATAAATGTATAAAGAAAAAGTATACGTATAGATAATCTAATCTATTACATCAAATGATTTGTATATTATGCAACGCTTTCATAACATAACCTTAAAGAATAATTGCATATTTTATAAAGTAAAAGCATACTTCTAACTTCTGGAGGAGGATAAATAATTCCAACGATAGGTTGGGACGAAGGTGCATTTTCTTCGACTTCGGTTGCTGGGGGTTGCGGAACTGCAATCTCTTGAGAAGGCATTTTACAGTCACTTAATTTTCTTTAATCCATCTAATAAAACATAAACTAATTTATTAAAACAATTCACTCAAATATAAAAACGTCAAATAATTCACATAAACTTACACGGATGCACTTGCCACACTACTATCGGAAAAAGCAAAATATATATAACCTAAACAGAAAGTATTTTTCTTTTTCTACAGTTGACCAGCCTGCTTTATCATAGACTACATTACATAGAGTAATCGAAACGAATGCTTATACGAGTATCGAAATAATTTTTAAAAGTGCCAAAAGCATACACAAATGACAAATATTTTATAATAAAGAAAGAAACAATCTCAAAAGTTAAAATATAATTATTTAAAATTATTAATTGTTAATTAATAATATTTATAAAGAATTATGTTTACTTATGTTGTTATTGAGGTTGCATCTAAAATAACGACGAGTATTTTTATTGGAACGATAAATAAATCGTGTGATAGATGTCTCTGCCGAACCGTTCCGAACAATAACTTTTTCGGTGGGGAGAGGAAAGGAAAAAGTGATTGTCGAACATCTGTCACCAAGCAGAGGACTACGTCTGACTACATCTATGAGCTCGAAAAACCGCAACACCATCATGGCATCTGCTTTTGTGATTTTTTGAAGAGTGCCAATCATATACACATATAGACACATAATATATATAGATACATATATATATATATTCTCGAACTGGTGTTAAATAAGTTTTTTAAGTTTCTAACAAAGAATTCGTTTATTCTGTTTTTTTTTTTACGTATTTTGGTGAGTGATATTAGAAATATATCATTTATATTCCATTCGACGTAACTCGACATAGAAACTTTAAATGTAACACTGTAGTACTTCTAGGACAAGCCCTTCGTATTTTAAGTTAAATGGTTATAATATCAACTAATAATTTATTTAATTGTTGCTATCTATAACAAGTCAACACGCGTGTTAGTTAGTGTTACAGTTAAAAAATCAAATATGTTATATCATATTCATACGATCAATTAATTAGTTTGAAATATTATCTTTTAATTAATTATTATTTGCGTTTTATTGACTAATCATCAAAGAGAGTTCCTGTTTCTATATGCCCAAATAGTATAATAATTTTTTACAAATATTTTTCTATCCATATATGTATAGGTAGAATTAATGTTTTCTTTAATTTATTGATTTTCTTTCTTTTTTCTATGCGAATATAATATTATCAAAATATTTTTATAAAGATTATTTAAAATAGCTATTTATTATTAATCTGTAACTTATTATTTTTATATCTTTTTATTATTACATTGTAGGAATTGTTTACAGATTAATTTTGTCTTTCTTGTATTAATTGTAAAGTATAATATACGTTTATAATAATAAATACTAAATTATTAATATATTTTTGTTAATCGCTTCAAAATCAGAATCACATGAGATTGTTTATCATTTCAGAATCGAAAACATGAGCTCTGGTAGACCCATCAAATGTGTCGTAGTAGGAGATGGAACGGTTGGAAAAACATGTATGTTAATATCATACACTACGGACAGTTTTCCTGGAGAATACGTACCAACTGTGTAAGTGGAACGCAATCTAATATCGCTATTTAGTATATCTAAATAAGTATTAATTTATTAGGGATTATTTTCTGTTTCTTTATTCTTTCTTTCTTTCTTTCTTTCTTTCTTCCATTTGGAAATCATCTTTCTATTTTTTCTCTACATATCTCTTCTTTAGAACGATGAACTGGTATGGCTAATAATAGTAATGCAGTGGTAATAAGAGCACCCTACTACTACTACTAATACTACTACTGTATACAGGAAGCCATTTATCTGATATTGTCCTTTTGCAAAACATCTTGTGTGTCAGGATATATAAAAATATCTTTCTTTTAATGTTCTATATATTTTTCCCCAATAGAAAATATTACTTTTATATTGTCTGCTATTAATTAATAATCTAAAATATCATTTTTATTTAGATTTTATTTATATATATATAGATATTAATTAAAGATGTAGCTTTGAATAAAGTAATAATTGATTTTAATATGATTACAATTATATGTTAATTATGTTTAGATTTGATAACTATTCAGCGCCCATGGTCGTAGATGGAATTCCAGTAAGCTTAGGACTTTGGGATACGGCAGGCCAAGAAGACTACGACAGACTTCGGCCACTCTCTTATCCACAGACTGATGTCTTTCTTATATGTTTTTCTGTAACAAGTCCTTCATCATTTGAAAATGTTACTAGTAAATGGTATCCAGAAATAAAACACCACTGCCCAGATGCACCAATGATACTTGTTGGAACTAAAATAGACTTACGAGATGATCGTGAAACTTTAACTGCCTTAGCTGAACAAGGACTAAGTGCTATCAAAAGAGAACAGGGACAAAAATTGGCTAATAAGGTTCATATTTAATCATATATTTTATTTTTGGTTAAGATATCCATCATAGATATCGCTTAGCAAAAAATGATATGTGCATTTTTTGAATTACAGATTCGTGCTGTAAAATACATGGAATGTTCCGCTCTCACACAACGTGGATTAAAGCAAGTATTCGATGAAGCAGTACGAGCAGTTTTAAGACCGGAACCACAAAAGCGCCGACAAAGAAGATGCATTATGTTATAAATTACGAAGAAAATGGAATCTCACTGACCTAGGTAAACACACACTTATATGAAATGACAGACTGAAATTAGTTTGGTCATAAGAAAAAAAAAAGAAAGGATATGTTAGATGTATCAAAAAAAGGAAAAGATAGCAGCGCATACAATTTAATAAATTTTTCTGGCAGCTGCAGTTCACCGTGTTACAAATAAAGTACAATTTGCAACTTCCCGGTCCTAATGTAAGTTGTAACATTTAAAAACAAACAAACAAACAAGACTTGAAAGTTTAGACAACGAGAAAGTATAATATTGTAATAATTTTACAACATTTACTTATTAAACCCATAGAACAAAAATTTTCTTACTATCTTAACGTGAAGAAGGAACTTTTTAAATTTATACGATATTATATTTATCGGTGAACTAGTCGATACGACGATAAATAGGAAAACAAATCACGAGAAAGAACAATTTAACAAATAGCTTTTCAATTTAATTTTGCAGTAGATTTTATTGATTAGAAGTATACTCATTAAATTATTATGATATTGCGTGAATGTGTTGTGTCTGTCGAAGGAAAAAGAAAGAGATTAAAAGAAAAAGAAAAAAGAATAATAACTAAAGCTTTACTCCATCATAGCTGCCAGAGTTTCGATTTTTATATTTACAATGACGGTAGAGGAAAGGAAGAAAATATTAATTTTAGGAGATATACATGTTAGTTACTATAGCAATCAATATACTAACAAATTTTACAAGTTGAACAAAAATTTAGTATCATATAGTTTTAAATAAATAAACAGTGCCATAGCATCGAAAAAAAATCAAAAAACCAACAACAAATTTTTACATCAATCAATTGTATGCAATAAAATTATTAATGAGATTTTGAAAATGTCGAATTTCTAACGTAAATAATAAAACAAGACAAGACTAACGATAAGTTCGACATTAATCAATGAGAACTTGTAGATATTACTATTTTGAAAAATTACTATTATTCTTCGTGGAAATACTTCATTGTTTACGATTAAAAACATTTTATCAAGATACGAATAGTAAGAGAACAGAACTGTAGCGTATTTTGTGTATATTGATATTTATTGTATTTTGATTATTTAAAAATTAAGGATATATATATATATTAATATTATTTTATTGCAAACATATATCAAATATCATACTTTGTAATTCCATTGTTGCATGTAATAGATACAGTATTGTACAGATTGTGTGCGTGTGTGTATTACATGAATACAATCTGACGCTATAGACATTATTGAGAGCCTATGAATTATTTTTCATATAAATATTAAGCTTATTTTGCAAAAATAAAGAAAAATAAAATAATAATAATAATAATCAAAATAAATACGGAATAACAAAATAATGTGAAATATCAATGATAAGGATATATGATGCTATGCACAGTTACAAGAGAAAGAGAATAGCACAATGTATTTTAAATAAAATCATGACATTCTTTCATTTTTACATATTTAATAGATTTAAACTATTGCACTCGCACTAAAATGAAAAAGTATAAAGAATGATGGTGCAAAAGAGTCGGCGTTTGCTATAAAGTTCACTACGTTTACAGTTAAACAATTTTGAAAAAGACTTTCGATTAATTTGTATTCCAACTACAAATTCAAATGGCATAATTGCCATTTAAATATCAAATACAAACAAACACGCTCTGTACACAGAGATTTTCAAATGTAACGTAGTGTGATGACAGATATATTCCTCTCCACTTGTGAACATGCTATTTTTTATATTCCAAAAAGAGAATTTAGAATAGAAAAAAAGGATAGGACTTGAGTGCCATATGCTTTTTAATCTTTAAACGATCAATCAACAACCGAATATGCCATATTTTGTTCGTGTTAATATATATATATATATACACACACATATATATATAATCAGTGTGAACTTTTTGGAAGAAATTATAATATAAAAGACGAGTCCACGAGAAAGAATTTTTATTATAGGTGAGAATATTCTAACAAAACGGTAATGCTTGCTAGGTGTACATACTGTAGCATAGATGCAGCAAATTTTGGATTTCAATCAGATATACGATAAATTTTCTTCTTCTTTTTTCTATGCAATTTTTGGTACAATAAAAAATTTCTATATTCGAGTAATTAACAATACAAAGTTTAATTAAGATTGAAAATATGTCTGAAGTGTTTGCAGTCATTTATATGCTATTGTATCGAAACTTTAATTTTTAAATGAACACACCTTAAAATATCAATGATTTTTATAAATTTAATTGTATATGAAATTTCTCGATAAAACTTCAAATTAATCGAAGTTAAACTATACGATATGATATTTTAATTGCTGCTAGAGGATATATCTTCCAGATGTAAAACATGATTTTTAATTAATAATGTGATGCAAATAGAAATTGTGTTATAAGAAAACAACAATTTCATTGCGCCAGACACTGCACAGTTTTAAATACAAAGAATAATATTTCATACCTTTTTGAAATTTTAGGCCAAGGAATTTATACGTATGTACTATGATCGTGCATATGTATTATCGCATAACGCACTAAGTTTAGAGAATAAAACATATAACATTTATGTATTATATTACTATGTTATATACGTGTATATAT